GCACACACACACACACTCACACACACACACACACACTCTCACACACACGCACACACGCGCACACACACACACACACCACATGACTGATTTCAGCCTAGTTGAGTGCAACAACATCATGAGAAAACCCCCAGCTGTGACTGGTTTTAAATTCTTTAACATTCCATAGATAGAGAAAGAGCAATCAGACAACAATCAGTGTCTAAAATAGACACCGATTTCAGTTAAATAACTATGTTTACCCTCTTTCACTTACTGTAATGCTGTTAAACTATGTACACAGCAAATACACTATGCATGTTAGCTTGCTTATTGTGCAACAGAGCATGGTTTATGTCCATTAAGCCTATAATTACCTTTCCACATAATTGCTCAAAATTGGTCTACAATGCAACATTATGCAGCTCAGTTCCAGGAATCATGTATGGAGGAAACCAGGCACTGCAGTGATGGGTCGTTCTTGAACGATTCTTTAGTATGTTTCAAAGAGCGGTTCATTCATTTAGTGTTGACTGCGCTGCGCAACATCCTATAGGATCTGTACAGAAAACAGAAATATCTAGCTCATCTCTCAGGTCTTCAGGTCCGAGTCGCTTGCTCTTTTGTCACGTGACCTGATACAGAAATTAGTGACGGATATTTAATGAAGAATGTTTTAATAAATACACTGGAAGTGTCATAATCATATTGTTAACCTGTTTTGATTCACTAGGGGTTTGTACAGATCAGTTTGAGGTTCAGAAACCAGAATGTCCAGCACCGGTCCAGCACCCACAAACTCTTCAACGTTCGTCATCCAGTTTCAACCAGCAACACAAGCAACACCTGTTACGACGGTGATAAATGCTCCGGTGCCTGTTTATGCACAACACAGGGCGGGGGTTTCACCTCTTCATGGACTTCAGGCATTTCTGAAAGGCCAGCCGAAAGCTCTTGGGGTGAGACATTTCTCATAAACCTAAATAATTGACCTTTCTGTGTGTATATATTGCCTTGAGGACTAGGTGCCTAGGTTTATCATTTACAGAGTAAAATAGTCAACTTTACAGTGCATCAGTCACAGAGAAGAATGTTTTAGGAGTTGCAAACTATCAAAAAATGTGAAGTAATGCAATCTTACACATCCGCAAATACAGTGACATTTACACATGATAGTTCCACACTTGCAGAATATATTTTTGGGATATTTTTCTTATACATAACTACAGCTGCCATAAGCTGATAGTGTATTTTACATGGCTCCCTCTTTATGAAAGAATCTCTTGTACATTCTTGTTTTAAAGCAGACGGTGCAGATAATGATCGGTGTGCTGACTCTCCTGTTTGGCATTGTGTCTACAGTTCATGCAGATCTGGTCTTTGTCATTATTGGTGTTCCTTACTGGGGATCTCTCATCGTAAGAAACAATTATACAATGAAGTGTTCTGTCTTTTATAATACAAGCTACATATTCCAATGCAAGCCTCAGTTTTTGCCTTTCTCTCTCCTCTCAGTACATTACTGCAGGCGCACTCTGCATTGCTGCAGAAAATAACATTCATTCACCCTCCGGTTTGTGTTTGGTACGTACACAGCCACTGGTGCTTGGACCATGATTATTATTATGTTTTATTTATTTATATCAAGTAGTGTTCTTTTTAAATCACACTCCAGATACTTTTCTGTCTACATTAACATGTTAACACAACGTTTGAAAGTTCTTGCCAATTCATTGATTGGGTTTATGTTGTTGTTTTTTCTGCCTATAGGTGAATGCTTCACTTGGAATGAACATTTTCAGTACTTTAACCGCATGCATCGCCATTATTTTTATTTCACTGGATTTGGTTATAGGGCCATACACTTTCTGCACCAATCAAGACTGTAATGAATTAGTGAGAATGTATAAGGTATGTCATCAACTTTTATATTCACATTTATTTAGTAATTACTATAGGATCACTGTGTGGTCAGTACACAAGTTCACTCAAAAATGAAAATTGCCCCATGATTTACTTAACCTCAAGCCATCCTAGGTGTATATGACTTTATGATACATATATAACATTTCCATATGAACCCCAGGGATGGTAGATTCTGGACTGCTGAGCATTCAGTGTACCAGTGTGAGTAGTAATTATCACTGATTTTGTTACTGTTATTTGTGTTAATGTTGATATTTCTCTCAGACCCTCTTCACTGGAATCAGAGTCGTGCTGCTGTTATTCGCCGTGCTTGAGTTTATCATCTCCATCTGTCTGTCAGTATTTGCCTGTAAAACCAAAGCCTGCTGTTGTCCTCCTCAGGTGAGCAATGAGCCAAATCAGGGGTTCCCAAACCTCAGGCTTTTACAACTGCTTTACACTTTCAGGCTAGGCTTTCTCAAGCCAACCTAAAGTTGGTCTTGGCTAACTTTTTTATCTAGTTTCATTTAATGCCGCTTTTGCAAATGAGGATCTTTTCAAAAGTAGATTTTGTCAGATTTAGTTCCTGTTAACACACACGCTAACTGAAATATGTTCTAAAAAACGTTTTCGTAACCTTCCCATCAAGGTTTGAAAACATTACTTCTCTGAATGTTCAAAAAGATCAGTTTAAAAACATTTTTTCTTTGTTATATGAACATTAAAGAACCATTTTATAATTTTTACAAACATTATGGAAACTTTTTTGAACTTTTGAAAGTTACTTTTGAATTTTTTAAAAAGGTTCTGAAACAAGTAACATTCAAAAAAACGTTAGATGAACGTTCAACTAAAATGTTTCAGGGCAAAACATTCCACGAATGCTGTGTAAATAACATTTTGAGAACATTAAAGACCAGAAAACTCTAAATGAACATTGCTAGAAAATGTTTCTTCATAACGAGAGAACATTATCAGAACATAGCTGGGCTCACATTAACTAAATAAGCATGTATATAGTCTTTAATATAAAACTAGTTTCAACTGATTAACTCAAACTCCAATGTCCGGATGCATGGGAGGTGCTGTCAGATTTAGCTCACTTTCTGATGACAAATTTATCCTTAAAGTTTAGATCATTAAACAGACACACATAAGAGCACAAATATTTGAAAACGTTCACTATATTTGTAAGGCCCTCAGAAATAAACGCAACCCACAAACACACATTAAAACCTCTTCGGTCAGTCAGATAAACGTGCTTTGTTGAGGTTTAGTACCTGTTTTTCATATTAATCTTATCTGTAAAAAAAAAAAGCCCTCATGGTTGATTTAAGAGACAGAATGAAGCAATTAAAGAGGCAGATGAGAGGCAAAAGAGGAACAGACAGCGGAATCGGTGTTGACTAATGCTGAAGGACAAACACCACAGACTTGAGCAAGAGTCTTCTGAGAAATGCCACTTCTCCCATTCACTGTCCTCTTGTGTGTTTCAGAAACGAGACGGGGACATTTATCAGGTACTGTGCTGTTATTGTGCTCTGTTGTGATGAGTCAGTGATTTCATGTGCACTCTTAAAAATAAAGGTGCTTAAAAGGTTCTTCACAGTGAACCATTTTTGGTTCCACAGAGAACCATTCAGTCAAAGGTTCTTTAAAGAACCATCTCTTTCTTAGCTTCTTATAATCTGAAGAACCTTCTTTCACCACAAAGAAGCTTTTGTGAAACAGAAAGGTTCTTCGGATGTTAAAGGTTCTTTATGGAACCATTTAGACTAAAAAGGTTCTTCTATGGCATCACTGTGAAGCAGCTTTATATTTAAGAGTGTGTCTGTGCTTCTTCAGGATCTGGGACGGCGAGACGCGGACACCTACGACACTCTCCATCCCGGGAATAAAAGGCTGCTGGCCTGAGAAACTCTCAAACTGTGCAGCTCATTCAGTCTTCATGCCCTAAAAACTGTATTTTTGCTTTTGTAAGTAAGCAAACTAGCAGAGCTTTGTTGATCATGAGATTCTGCTTTATTGTCCTTGTTTGAGACAAATGCCACAATTCATGTATAAAATACATGTGTAAGGCTCTTCATTTCAACATAAAATTATATTTTTCTCTTGGACAGATTAAAAGTGTGTTTCAATGTTAGCATGGCTAACTATTTGTAAGATGAATGTGCGCGGCTTCCGGTTATTTTTAGCGGTACGAAAGCAGCTCGTTTATGCTGCCTGGCAAGCTGGTATTCTTATCATATTATTTTAGTTAATCTGCTGCTAAATGAATAAATGTAATGTAAATATAAAATATAACTCAAAACAAACCCAAATGAGCAACACCATAGTAAAAATATCATTATAAAAGTATATCACTAAAAGTAGCCTACTATATAAACTAAACTAAATAAAACAACTAAACTGTAACTAGGGATGTAACGATTACCGGTTTGACGATAAATCGTGATGAAATACCCCCACGGTTAGTATTACCGTTTCATATTTTAATTATCACTATAACCGTATTCGATTACCGCGATTTGAACAACTGAGGATAAATAAATACTGTACTGCACAGGGCTCCAGTGTGCGACCAAATGGGCGCATTTTGCGATAATTTTTTCTGCCGGCGCGACTAATTTTTGTGTGCGGTCGCACCACCGCATTGTGGACCAGCGCAACTCATAAGCGCTGCATTTCTGTTGCATGTGAGAAACATCAAACGGCAAACGAAACCGAAAGCATAACGAAACCGCGCGACTCGTTTGAACTGCGCAGCGCTTCGAGTGTAGAGCCTGGTTTATACTCGCCGCGTCAGCACGAACGCGAAGCTGCGTGCAGAAAAAATGACGCGAATATTGATTAAACGATGGATGGGTTTCATGCTAAAGTAAAGTAAAAGACCGCTTCTTAAACCAAAGGTGAACATGTTGGTATTCTCGTGGTACAAAAACATGCAAGCACTGTCACCGACAGCAAGTTTAGTTTTACTTTTCTTTTTGTTTTCATTTTGAAAAGCTTGTTATCTTTGCTGTTTACCTCACGTTATGCTATGGAGGCTCTCTTTTTTATTTATTTGATTCCTCAGTGATTGCTAAACGTTCTGTGATTTATTAGTCGGTATATAATACAGCATGTGGTGTGTGCCATGCCTCATCTTATTCGTTTTTGTTAATAAACGTTTTATAAGCTAGTTTGTCATTGTATCTTACTGTTTTATTGTTGTTATGCTTTTTAATTAAGAATAACAATGAAGCCATCTTTTGTTTTAGTCTTAAAAAGTGAAAGGTGTGTAGATCAAAAAACGGACTGAATTAGCATGCCCTGCTGTAAATTTTGACCGGTTGATGAAAAACAAGCTTATGTGGATTCTACACATTTAAACAATAAGGTAGGCCTATCTAGTGTTATTTATGGAGCAGATAAATACATATAATCATTTATTAATCAGTTATCATTTTGACTTGACCCTTTTCTTTATTTAAAAGCTGAAATGTGAGGTTTACCATTTATGAAACTTTTTCAAAGCTTTATTTGAACATTTACATTAGATATTTGAACATGCTATTAGATAAACTGTTGTCAGTCATGTTGTCATTTAAAATCCGGACATCATTGGCAATGTTATTGTTTTAGTTATGCAAACAAAAACTCATGTTATTTGTTGTTTGTTGATTTTAAATGTAAAACTTGGTGAAATGATTTGTGTGTCAGTACTTTTTGAACAGTTCCAGCACGTTAACAATACCGTGATAATACTGATAACCGTGATCATGTTGGTCACTATAACCGTGATAAGAAATTTTCATACCGTTACATCCCTAACTGTAACCTAGCTAACAAGGAATGTGCTCAGAACTTTGCCTAACGTTCTGGTGAACGTCTTTCAAAGTTATAAACAAACGGTCTTCCAGTAACCTTAATAGAACATTGGTAATTCAACGTTAAATGGTCTTTAATAACATTCTCAAGCACAAAAACATTTATACATGGTTCTAAAGTGTTTGAGTTGGACGTTCATCAAACATTTTTTAAATGTTACTATTAGTTTCCGAATGTTGAGAACGTTCAAAATAACATTCCCATAATGTTTGGAAAATGCTAAAATAGAAGGTTCCCTTAACGTTTGTGTAACAATATTTTTTTGTTAAACATTTTTAAAAACTAGACGTTCAGAGAACATACATAAATAAAGTTTTCCTAACTAGCAAAACGCTCTTAGAACACATTTGTCAGCTGGTAAATGACTACAAGTTATTTATATACACCATGAGCAATTTATTTACCATCAGCAGATGGCGATATAAAACAAAAATAACTACAGTACTGCATAAATACATTTTTAATTAACATAATATTTATAAAATACATAATAAATTAACATGTATATACATATCATTTAAAAGGTGTCAAGATATCAATAATACAATAATAATAATAATAATTTTGTTTTACTATAATGTAAATCTGTATATCTCTCTTCATTTGAGTTTTGAAATTTTTGACTTCTTTTGTTGGCGTGTTCACAGGCTATGTCAGGAATTTGCATCTGAACTGGTTTGTCCTGTTCATATCTACATCACAAAACACCCAACAAAACAAATTCCACTTTCAAACTTCACACCTCGCCATGCATTCAGAAGAGTTTAGCTTTTTATGCATTTCTAGAAATCCACCACAGACTTTTTTTAATATATATATATAAGAAGAAGAGGTGTATAGTTCAGTGCTTAAACCAAAGGTCCGTGAGTGTTTATGTGCGCGCGGAAGAGGTGGGCGGAGCCTAACCCGCAGGTGTGTGAACGCTCACCTGAGTGCGTTTGAACGCGTGAGCTGACTTCAAATGCGGTTTAATCATGAGTTTATAAGCCTCGGGATCGTTCCGTAGACGTTCAGCTCGTGCTTTGTGACAGAACTGCAATTTTACCAAGCATATTTTTTTATTCGTTCAAATGTTGACAAACGTTGGAGTTTAAGAACCATTTAAGATGGATTAACAGAAGAAACCTTTAATTGAAGTAAAAAAAAATAAAACTGAAAGTGGGGGGAAATCACATTATGAAATAAATATTTTTCTCTAACACAATGGCTGCAAGTATTGGTACTCCTAGAAATTCTTATGATTAAAATATCTCTGGAGTATATTTCCATTCACATTTGCATTTTTTTATCACACCAGGCTGACTAGGAACATGAAATTATCCAGCCATGGCTTCCTGTTTCAAAGGAATATAAATATGAGGAACACAAAGGCCAAATTCCCGTCATCATTCATCACAATAAAACCAAAGAATATAGTTCTGATGTGCAGCAAAAGATTGTTGAACTTCACAAATTAGAAAGTGTCTGTAAGAAAAGAGCTAGAGCAGTGACAATTCCCATTTCCACCATCAGGGCAATAATTAAGTTCCAATCAACAGAAAATGTTACAAATCTGCTTGGAAGAGGACATGTGTCTATATCATCCTAATGCACGCTGAGGAGGAGAGTTTGAGTGGCTAAACACTCCAAGGACCACAGCTGGAGAATTGCAGAAAATAGTTGAGTCTTGGGGTCAGAAAGCCTAAAAAAAACAGTAACAAATAAATATCAAATAGCACCTACATCACCACATGTTGTTTTTTCAATTCAAACAATTCTCCTTGTTCATCCAAAAATAAACTCTAGCATATTCAGTTATCAGACACGACTGGAACCTCAAATGGGACTGACTTCTATGGTCAGATGAATCTAAAAATTTAGCAGCAAACACTCAAGATGGGTTTGGTGCACACAGGGATAAAAAAGTACCCCATGTTGGGCGGAGCCTAACCCGCAGGTGTGTGAACGCTCACCTGAGTGCGTTTGAACGCGTGAGCTGACTTCAAATGCGGTTTAATCATGAGTTTATAAGCCTCGGGATCGTTCCGTAGACGTTCAGCTCGTGCTTTGTGACAGAACTGCAATTTTACCAAGCATATTTTTTTATTCGTTCAAATGTTGACAAACGTTGGAGTTTAAGAACCATTTAAGATGGATTAACAGAAGAAACCTTTAATTGAAGTAAAAAAAAATAAAACTGAAAGTGGGGGGAAATCACATTATGAAATAAATATTTTTCTCTAACACAATGGCTGCAAGTATTGGTACTCCTAGAAATTCTTATGATTAAAATATCTCTGGAGTATATTTCCATTCACATTTGCATTTTTTTATCACACCAGGCTGACTAGGAACATGAAATTATCCAGCCATGGCTTCCTGTTTCAAAGGAATATAAATATGAGGAACACAAAGGCCAAATTCCCGTCATCATTCATCACAATAAAACCAAAGAATATAGTTCTGATGTGCAGCAAAAGATTGTTGAACTTCACAAATTAGAAAGTGTCTGTAAGAAAAGAGCTAGAGCAGTGACAATTCCCATTTCCACCATCAGGGCAATAATTAAGTTCCAATCAACAGAAAATGTTACAAATCTGCTTGGAAGAGGACATGTGTCTATATCATCCTAATGCACGCTGAGGAGGAGAGTTTGAGTGGCTAAACACTCCAAGGACCACAGCTGGAGAATTGCAGAAAATAGTTGAGTCTTGGGGTCAGAAAGCCTAAAAAAAACAGTAACAAATAAATATCAAATAGCACCTACATCACCACATGTTGTTTTTTCAATTCAAACAATTCTCCTTGTTCATCCAAAAATAAACTCTAGCATATTCAGTTATCAGACACGACTGGAACCTCAAATGGGACTGACTTCTATGGTCAGATGAATCTAAAAATTTAGCAGCAAACACTCAAGATGGGTTTGGTGCACACAGGGATAAAAAAGTACCCCATGTATACAATGAAATATACTGCTGGATCTTTAATATTGTGGGCCTGTTTTTCTGCCAGAGATTCTGGATATCTTGTTCAGATAAATGGCATAATGGATTATCAAATAACAACAGATAACAAATTAAAAACTGACTGTCCATGCTAGAAATCTTACATTGGACC